CTTGATTATTCTGATCGGCTCTGATTAATAAAACTTGGCACGTTTTACTTAATAAAACAACAGACATTTCCTTAGATCTTAAATTAATATCTGCAGACTTTTAGCTTATCTTTTTACTGGCAGAGAAATATAGAGATGGAGTAAAGTTTAAGAAGGGAAAGTGGATACTTAGGGTTAACTTAAGATAATAAAGAAAAGATGGGGAGTTATCTTGTTTGAAACCAGATAGCAAGTTTCCCAGTGATTTCCGCTAGATGGTACCCGAGTGTCGACTCTACCTTGGTGGGGTTTCAGAGAGGCCTTCTCCTGGCGTCCAGCAAGGCTGAGTCTTTTTACCTCCAGGGATTTATCCGCTTCTCATCAACTTAGGATGACGAGGCTGACTGGCCCAGCTTCCAAAATAAACTTCCCCGAAAGATAGGATTAAGTTAAGTGGAATTTCAGCAAACGTGCTGAACTCCTGAGATGTTGAATAGGTCTTTGGCGTAATGACCGGAATCAACATTCCAGACAGGTGTCATTTTTCAGCAAATGACCACCGTGGACTTCACCCTTGCAAAGTCACACTGTCTTCCTTCTCCATGGAACTTCTGTTCTATCCAGAACTAACTGAAACTAGGAAGTGTCGACTTTTAAAGAGTTCTGCTTCCGGTCCCTTTTGGGAAGTCCTGATTGGTTGAAAGAACCAACAGGGGTGTGGTTTTAGTGACGTAAGAGGTTACTACAAGTTAGAAAAACAGCGAAGATGTTTAGGAACAGACAGAGAAATGTTTAGGAACAGACAGAGAAATGTTATGGCGAAGTGGGAGGAAGCAGATGCCAGTAGCTTCTTATTTACCGTCTGCTAGGTTTAAAAACAATCCACTTCGTTCTAATAACTTCTTTCTGACTTTCGACCGACATCACTACTTCTCATTTCAGACAGAAGATCAAAATGCATAATTACTTTGTAACAGACATCTAACTTGATTTCTACTTTGAATGAGGATTAAAAATCATTAATACTGTTTCACAGTTGATTTAAAATGAGTGGTTCACTTCAACATTTAAAATGGTTTGAACTAAACACACTTTTGATTATCAAGACATTGTAAAAATAGTAATGATAATATAAAAAGAGAGTGTTCTTTCAATTGATTAGTTCAGGATACAATTAGAAAGTCTCTGGATGAGCTAATTTGTATTTCTGGATTCAAATCAATGAAATAACAGTTCCTGTCCCATGAAGGTCTTCAGGGTCAGGTTTTGACCGGATGCTTAGTTCACTACAAGAACAACAAATGCTCCCATATAGATGTCATCTCTTTCAGGGAAGACCCTGCATTTTTTTACACGATAATGCCAGACCACATTCTGCAGCAATCACAACATCATGGCTATGTAGGAGAAGGATCCGGGTACTGAAAGGGCCAGGCTGCAGTCCAGATCTTTCACCTATAGAGAACATTTGGCGTATCATAAAGAGGAAGGTGCCACAAAGAAGGCCCAAGACGATTGAACAGTTAGAGGCCTGTATTAGACATGAATGGGAGAGCATTCCTATTTCTAAACTTGAGAAACTGGTCTCTTCTGTCCCCAGACGTCTGTTGAGTGTTGTAAGAAGAAGGGGGGATGACAGTGGTAAAAATGGACTTGTCCCAACTTTTTTGGTATTTGTTGATGCCATGAAATTTGGAAACAACAGATTTTTCCCTTAAAATGATACATTCTCTCAGTTTAAACTTTTGATCTGTGATTTGTGTTCTATTCTCAATAAAATATTAGATGTTGGCACCTCCACATCATTGCATTCAATTTTTAATCACAATTTGTTTAGTGTCCCAACTTTTTTGGAATCTGGTTTGTAGTTAACAGTTCTAAAAAGCATTCACAACAGTTATTTTAGGTCAGCACTGCTCCAGAGACCTGTGAAGGGTTAATATTGTTTTAGATATACAAATCACATCATTTAAATAATCCTCAAACATAATCTTTGTTTAATCAGTTATTTTTTAAAGGGACAGGCACCGTTAAAATGAAAATTTGTTTTGAAAACATAAAATTACTAATTTTTATCTGCATTTCTTTAATTTAACACTAAGACTATATCTTAAATCTGCAGGGCACTTGCTGTAAGATAATCCCAGCTCTCATCATGACTCCTTCAATACATTCTGTTAAATCCCATAGTTAATGTCGACTTGTATTACCATTTAAAACTGTCCATAATTTAAAGGTGGATCCATTTATCTGTCAATCTGTGTGTGTATGTATATATATATACAAGTCCTTCTAAAAAAATTAGCATATTGTGATAAAGGTCATTATTTTCCATAATGTAATGATAAAAATGAAACTTTCATATATTTCAGATTTATTGCACACCATCTGAAATATTGCAGGTCTTTAATTGTTTTAATACTGATGATTATGGCATACAGCTCATGAAAACCCAAAATATCTGTCTCAAAAAATTAGCATATCACGAAAAGGTTGTCTAAACAAGCTTTTAACCTAACCATCTGAATCAACGACGTAACTCTAAACACCTGCAAAAGATTCCTGAGGCTTTTAAAAACTCCCAGCCTTGTTCATTACTCAAAACCGCAATCATGGGTAAGACTGCCAACCTGACTGCTGTCCAGAAGGCCATCATTGACACCCTCAAGCAAGAGGGTAAGACACAGAAAGAAATTGCTGAATGAATAGGCTGTTCCCAGAGTGCTGTATCAAGGCACCTCAGTGGGAAGTCTGTGGGAAGGGAAAAATGTGGCAGAAAACGCTGCACAAGAAGAGGTGTCCGGAGCCTGAGGAGGATTGTGGAGAAGGGCCAATTCCAGACGTTGGGGGACCTGCGGAAGCAGTGGACTGAGTCTGGAGTAGAAACATCCAGAGCCACCGTGCACAGTCAATGCAGCTAGCTATCAGGAGATTTTGGAGCACTTCATGCTTCCATCTGCTGAAAAGCTTTATGGAGATGAAGATTTCATTTTTCAGCACGACCTGGCACCTGCTCACGGTGCCAAAACCACTGGTAAATGGTTTACTGACCATGGTATTACTGTGCTCAATTGGCCTGCCAACTCTCCTGACCTGAACCCCATAGAGAACCTGTGGGATATTGTTAAGAGAAAGTTGAGAGACGCAAGACCCAACAAACTGGATGAGCTTAAGGCCGCTATCGAAGCATCCTGGGCCTCCATAACACCTCAGCAGTGCCACAGGCTGATTGCCTCCATGCCACGCCGCATTGAAGCAGTCATTCATGCAAAAGGATTTCTGACCAAGTACTGAGTGCATAACTGAACATGATTATTTGAAGGTTGACGTTTTTTGTATTAAAAACACTTGTCTTTCATTGGTGGGATGAAATATGCTAATTTTTTGGGACAGGCATTTTGGGTTTTCATGAGCTGTATGCCATAATCATCAGTATTAAAACAATTAAAGACCTGAAATATTTCAGTTGGTGTGCAATGAATCTGAAATATATGAAAGTTTCATTTTTATCATTACATTATGGAAAATAATGACCTTTATCACAATATGCTAATTTTTTGAGAAGGACCTGTACAATTCAGAAATTACACTTCCACTGCCTTTTAGTTCACTAATCTGCGTACACCGGACTGAAAACAGAGCAGCCTGACCATTCTTATGGGACACGCAGAAATTCGATGTAATAGGTTTCCTGCTTACCTTATGAGATGATAATAGCCGGCTTGTTCAGTCTGCTCTTACTCCATTCACCTGTTGCTGTATTACCTCTAAATAATAATAAAAAATTGAGCTACCACTTCTAAAACGGAAGTCCAGAACACGGCACCAACTGTTAAAGATGCGAGCTGGCCGCGGACCACCGGATCCGGAAACCCCCTCCTGCCCACATCTTTACCCCGGGCTCGGACCTCCCTCAGAATTGGCACTATACTAATCAATAAATCAAGGAAATGTCAATTAAGTTTTATCAATTATATTAGAAAAGGCAGTAAAAGATTACAATTCACAGCGCTGGACTCTATACAGTATGTGACGTGTTTATAGACCCGGAAAAAGAGCCCCGATGTCTCGTGTCATTATTAATTTATAGGGTCCTACACTTCGCCTTTCGCAGAAGGGGAGCTCAGCCTATCAGTGTATGAGGGGGCAATGGTAAATGGTAAATGGACTGTATTTATATAGCACTTTTCTATCTTATTTCAAGATACTCAAAGTGCTTTACACTACAATCTGTGCTTCATTTACCTATCCACACAGCACTAGATCTCTACAAAGCTAATTGAACAAATCATTCTAATGAGACTAATCAGTGCTTTAGATCACATTCATACACCGATGGGACACACATCAGAGGCTATGAGGGGTTCAGTGTCTTGCCCAGGGACACTTCGGCATGTGACTGTTGGTGGATTTGAACCCCCAACTCTCGCATTGGAGGACAACTGCTCTAACCACTCAGCCACAGCCGCCCCATGGCGTGGCTAAGTGTGGTCTTATTTGGACTGACGTGTTAGGAAATATGAAACGGTGCTTCAAAGCCTTTCTACGTGATGTGGCAAGCAGATTAAACTATTCCTTGACTGATATTGAAATCCCTGGGAGAACTCTCTTTAGAGTTTCTGGTCCAGTTTAACCCAGTCAGAACCGGGGCATAATTTCATTATAATCCCGTCTCTGAGCAGATCAAAATCATAGGACCAGTCTAAATAAGAAATATCATAACACCATCTCATACTGAATCCAAATCAAAAATCCAAGATGGCCAGCATAGCTTAAAACAAAAAATGACTATAACTCATTGATGTTTTTGCCATATTGAGCTGAAATTTGGTATGGTGGTAGCTGAGTGAACCCAATACATACTACTGTCAAATGAAAAATTAAAAATGGAGGCCACGTGGCAGTCCTGATCAAATTTTCTGCAGGAACTTTCTGGTTGAAGTTGTTGTTCAGTTGTTCCACCCTGGAGAAAGAACAGTCTCCGTACTTTTGACTGGTTTTCTCCTTTGATTCGTCCACAGAAAGACGTGCTGTGTCAGCAGCTGGGCTTGATGGCACCTGTCTCTCAGGAGGGTTTTGAAGCAGCGGTGTTTGAACGTGTTGGACGGGACCAGTTCAGAATGGATACACTGAAATGGTGAGGAACTAAATTTACACCAAATCTACTAACTGTCCACATGTCTGAGACATGTCTAGGTCTCTGAAGTCAAACAGGAAGTTGTGATCACAGCTGTGAATGCAAATCAAGTCAAACTTGTACATTTTGTAATGACGTAATTCTGACCAGTTATCTCAGTCCCTGCTCATTTTCTGAGACTGCCAGGTGAAACCATGACTGTGTTGGACACCACACCATGTGTCCAAGTGTTGGACACCACATGCTGGATCAAAGTGTCGGACATCTAGGTCTGAGTACCTAACTTTGGTTCTTTTATGGTATCGACTGAACTGCTTCGGTTGTACTAAGCATCAAAATGTGCCTTGTCTTTCAGTGCCAAGTTTCGGTGATTGGCTGTAGGGCTGAAACGATTTCTCGAATCATTCGAGGACCTCGGTCTCAAAAAATCCTCGAAGCAAATTTATCTGCCTCGAAGCTTCGTTCAACTATTCAGAGCACTGTGGTCTAGCCGGATGGTTTTTGTGTTACACAACGCTAGCGCTTCCGCTAACACATATGTGCTAAGTTTGTAGCTATGGAGGGAACAGAGACTGCCTAAAAGAAGAGCCCCGAAAACAACAAAAACTGTCAAAAGTTTGGGAACATGTTAGACTAAACAGAAAATACAACACAGCTCAATGCTTCCACTGCAAACAGAACTGGAGTAACAGCACGTCGTCCATGTTGCAGCGTCTGAAGAGAAAACATCCGCTGTAGCATCAAACTCGTCCGCAGCTGTAACAGGTATCATGTTCTCTTTGAAAAATACATTAAAGTAAATGTGTGATAATCTGTCATGTTGTAGATATATGAGGCATATTTCTGCTAACGTTAAATCTACTGACTAATCAAAGTGGCTTCCTGGCAGGGTCTGTACGTTGTGTGAGAAAAAAAACAAAACTCTGTAGGAATTGATGCAAGTTTCTTAAAGATAAAAGCAGCAACAGACTGATGCATTTATTTATTGCTGAACTTCCATCCGGACTTAAATTAGATATTTAGGGTGAATATTTCAAGTGTAAATGTATTTACATGAGTTAGTAGATTTTTTTTCTTCTTGCTGCTGTTTATGACTGAAAACGTTGGTTACGTACTGTAATCCCAGATTCTATGAGTATAGGCGTAGGCCTTTAAGGCTGTCGCTTGTGGGTTTTATCCTATCACGCAAAGCGTCGCACTGAAAAATTTAGTCCACGCCCACCTGTCGTGTGGGCCCCACCCGGTCCGTATAAATTAGGTTGAGAGCGGGTAATCGGCTCCCAAATAGCTTTTTTCTTCAGCCATTTAGGAGCCAGTGAGGCCCAGAGCTTAAAGGGCTACGCCTATACTCATAGAATCTGGGGTTACAGTATGTAACCAATGTTCTATTTCGTATAGGCCTCGCCCTTTAAGGCTGTCGCTTGTGGGTTAAGGGCGAAGCAGGATGTAGTCTTTGCCTCACTGGGTCCATTCGAACACCGTATGAAGCGCCCGCTTGCACCAAAAAACATTTTATCCCTCAGCCCTCCATGTGCGTAAATACGCGCTGCGTAATTACGCGTACCATGTACAGACGCGCGCTGCGTAATTTATGAATTCCGTGTACATGGGCTCCCGGAGAGAAAAGTTTTCGAGGGGAAAAAGGGGAGAGGCTGAAAAAACAGTGAACAGATTCACAATAAATGAACTGATTAGTAATCAAATGAACTGATTGGTAACAGTATTCATGAACTGATTAGTGACATTAGAACAAAAACCAACAGTCACAAACTTGTGACTGATAACAAATATCTCACACTGTAATTGCATGTAGTCAGATGTGAGTTTAAACGAAGTTCCATGAAAACAATGAGATTCATTCTGTTAAGGCACCGAGGACAGAATGCGTCATGGAGCGTGCCGACACATCACGTAGATAGAAGCGAATAAATGAGCAGGGCGATGACCATGCGGCCGCAGTGCAAATATCCTGCATTGTCATACCATTATGTAAGCCAGTCGAGGATGCGATTCCTCTCGTCGAGTGCACCCTGAGATTGTCAGGGGTCTCTAAACCTGATGCTCTGTAGGCTTCAGAAATGGCCTCACACAGCCAGTGTGACAGGCACTGGGTGGATAACGGGCGACCTGCAGAGGCCTCTCTATAATGCACAAACAAATGTTGAGTCTGATGCAGTGTGGCCGTGCGTGCTACGTAACATGCCAACGCATGCACAGGGCAGAGAAGATGAAAAGATACTTCTTCGTATTTGTGGTAGGAGGGACAAAACACTCCAACGTTATGATTCTTGATTTAAATGAGCTCATGATGTTTTTAGGCATAAACGCTGGGTTAGGTCTCAGATCAGCTGAACTGCCATCAGCCTGAATCCTGAGACATGACGGAGCGACAGAGAGGGCAGATAAATCACTCACTCTCTTTGCATATGTCAAAGCCAACAGCAGGGCTGTTTTAAATTACAAGAATTTAATCGAAACCTGACCTAACGGCTCTAAAGGAGCTTTGATCAGGGCCTGCAGAACCATTGTTAAGTCCCACTGAGGAGTTAATGGGCGTGACACAGGTCTTTGCCTTTGTACACCTTTTAGAAAATGCTTCATCAGCGGATGATTAAAACTGTTCTGTCACCGACGCCTTTGTGACAGGAAGAGATGGCTGCAGCATACGTTTTAATTGTGTTGAACGCCAGATTTCTGTCCATCAGCTGCTGCAAAAAGGACAGCATGCCACCTAGTGGACATGAGGTGGTCTCTATACCTTTCTCCGTACACCAGCGCTGAAAGGCTGTCCACTTTGATGTGTACAGTGCTGTAGTGGAGGCAGCACGTGAATCCTGGATCGTGCGCACTACATCTTGAGAAAGACCCATCCTCTCTAAGCGGATCTGCTCAGCGGCCAGACCCAAAGGTGCTGGCCTATTTCTGGGTAACTCCTGATCGCTCCTCTCACCTGGAGGAGAGCGTCCTCCCTCCACGGCAATTTCCACGGGCGACCCGATAACAGACGTCGCAGGATTGGAACCCACGGGGCGCTCACGCGCTCGGGGGCTATCAGAATGGCTGACAGTTCTTCCTCCCAAGCTCGGTTCTGAAACTGTGATATTAGAAGGACTGGGGGAAAAAAGCGTAAAAAAGCATTTTGGGCCACGGGCTGTGGGCAAATGCGTCCACTCCTAACAGTGGTTTGTCCCGTGGGCTCGGTGAGAACCATAGTTGGCACTGAGCGTTCTCCCGTGAGCCAAACAGGTCCACTGCCGCTCTGCCAAATTTCTCCCACATCCGAGACATCAGCTCGGGATGGAGGCTCCATTCCCTGTGGCGCGGACCACCCCTGAACATTATGTCCGCTCCTCTGTTCAGGACACCGGAGATGTACACTGCTCTGATGGAGAGTAGGTTTTTGTGTGCCCAACACAGCAGCTGCCTCGCAATGTGTAACATTTCGGCTGAGCGCGTGCCCCCCTTCCGGTTTATGTACGCTGCAGACACTTTGTTGACTGTGTGAATCAGAGCATGTTGATTCCGCAACACTGGAGTAAAATGTTTAATCACATTCAAAACCGTGCAACATTCCAAAATGTTTATATGAGCAGCTGTGTGATGTGGCCACAGCGCCCCCACAGCCCGAGACGGGCACGTTCCTCCCCAACCTGACAGGGACGCATCTGTGAAAACTGAGACGTGTGACATAGGTCTGCTGATAGGGATTCCTTCCGACAGAGTGAGGGGATTTCCCCAATGTCTCGGGTCGGTTCCCATGGAGGGGGGCACAGAGATCATCCCCCTCTTCTGCCTTACCAGATCTATGCGCAGACAAGCGAACCATCTCTGGCGGTGTCTTATGTGGAGTAAGCCCAACGGAATCACCGTGTGAGCTGACGACATTGTTCCTAACAGTTTCATGATGGAAACAACTGTCACTACTCTGCCCAGTTTTACGTGGCGGAGCTGGTCTTTTGGAGCTTCGGTTTTTGTCTGTGATAAACGAGCCCTCATAGTGACTGAGTTTAGCTCTACTCCCAAATAAACAATTATCGGGGCCAGAAGAACCGAGCCCTTCTCCCAGTTAATGGCGAAGCCCAGGTTTCACATGTATGTCACCAGCGCTTGGGTTTGCGCCACTGCTTCCTGTCTGGATCGAGTAAGCAGCAGCAGATCGTCCAGGTAAAACATGATTCTCATCCCCGCCCTGTGTAACAACTGCAGAGCCGTCTCCATGCATTTTGAGAACATACGTGGTGCGAGGGAATAACCGAACAGCAGCCTGTTGTGCTGATACTAGATCCCTTGAAAGGAGAAGCGCAGGAACCTTCTGCATTTTGGAATGATTGGAATGTTGAAAACTGATAAATCCAAGATGGGTCTCATCCCTCTGGTCCGTTTCGGAACCAGGAAAAACGTGAGTAAAACCCTGTGTTTTCCTCTCCGTCGGGAACCCTGGAAATTACATTTTTCACCAGTAGTTCCTGAACTTCTGTGTGGGGGGACGAGATCTGTTCTGGAGATGACAGAACCGTCTCTATAATTCCTCTGAACGGAGGGGGGTTGAGCTGCGAACTGTAGCGTGTAACCTTTGTTGATAAGACGGTGCATCCATCTGTTCAGGGAGCACGCTCGCTGCCCCTCTGCGAGATTTTCTCCTAGGCTCGGTCTGCTGAAAACATTCATTTTTTGCTGCTGTGTCAAGCGAGCATTGTGTGTGTTTTCTCGAGCTGCTGTGATTTTTAATTCAATTCAATTCAGTTTATTAATATAGCACCAAATCACAACAAAGTTGTCTCAGGGCACTTTACAGGAACATTCACATACATAAAAGCCAATTAGTAAATTTCTCTATCTAAGGAATCCAGCAGACAAGTTGAATCTTGGGTTTGTTGCAGTCTCCCATCCTGAGCAAGCAAAGTGGCAACAATGGAAAGGAAAAACTCCCTTTTAAAAGGAATAAACCTCCAGCAGAACTAGGCTCAGGACAAGTGGCCATCTGCTTTGACCGGCTGGTT